GCGGGGGGGCGGAGGGGGTGTTGTCCTCCAAACACAGCTGGGCCTTGAAGGATATGCACTACAGATTTACACACTAGGGGGCAGAGTCCATGGGGTCGGGGGGGTCCAGAGATGATGACCCCACCCCCTCCCCCACAGACTGACTGTCAGCTCAATTCCAAGCATGAATTGATATGAATGTACAAAGAGTGGGATGATGGGAAATCCTGGTTCTGTTCTGGTCCAGGACCAGTTCTCAGATTCTGATCTGACTCACCAAGAACGAACGCCTGAAGTCTGAAGCTCAAACCTCTGCTGACCAAGTGTGGATCACTGATAGGCTCAGAGCCAAACGAGGGCGTGTCTGAGCTGTCCGTCAACACCTGGTGTTTGGCCACAGTGAGATGAAGGAACAAAGATCAAAGAGAGTCAATAACTACTGTTTGAAGTGGTTTCTAAACAACAGTCAACATTAAACACACATCGCCCGACTGTTCCTGCAGAGGGGGCTCAATGTGTGGCTCCGGTGCCCATTACTGGGCCGATGTGAGCTGGTCAGGTGCCGTCGGAGCACAGTGAGAGTCCTGATGGTCCAACCAGACTGGACATCAGAGTGACAGTGAAGTCACTGCCACCAGGAGGCGCCGCTTCATCAGCCACACACACACATCTGGCAGATTTCAGTTGTGTGTGGAGACATTGAAAGTGACGGACGTCCTGGTCAGACTGAAGGAATGTGTGGAGGGAAAAGTTGAGCTCAGGGTCAGACGTCACCGTCACACAGTTGGTCAAAAACTCTGGACTCTGTCTCCACCAGAACATCACCATCACTGAAGAGACCATGGGGCGCCACTGGTCAAGACTCCTGGACACCTGGTCCAACTCCTGGACACCTGGTCTGTTTGTTGACAAACACAGTTCCATTTGAAGACAGGTGTCCTCTCGTATGAGACAGGAAACAAACACCAACCTCCTCATAATCAGCCACATTATGGGAGCAGAGAGTAAACACACCACGCCGCTGTGAGGCGTTCAGGGACAGTCACGTCACCCATTATCTTCCATCACTGGTGTGTTTACTGACATCGTCAGTTCCTGATGTTTCCTTTTCTGGTCAGGCTGAGACCCTCACCCCGTCCTCACCCCGTCCTCACCCCGTCCTCACCCGTTCATGCTCACAGCTGTGATGCCTCACCAAAAATCCCTTCATCCTCCTCCTCCTCCTCCTCAACTCCTTAAATATTGTCCTGACATATGAGACAAAGGTTCTACAGCAGGAACAGAGCAACAGACCGCTGTGTCAGTACAGACCACTACAGACCACAAACTGACTTCCAACAGTGATACCTGTGTTCTCTCAACACTGACTGTTGAACTGCACAACAACAACAACAACAACAACAACAACAACAACAACAGCAACAACAACAAGAATGTTTTTTATTACCCCTAATTACCCTGGTGTCAGGGGTAAAGGGTTAATGGACCACTGGA